ATTGTCCCAGGACCATGTTAGACAGGACCATGTCCTTGTGTATTGGGCCTAATTCTGACCCATGTAAAACAAAGAGTTTATTATTATTAACCTTTCGGGTATCAGATAAATAAATCAATTATATAACTAGAACCATGAATATCACCGATGCAGTGCGTATCCTGGATGATGCATCGGCGAAACGTTGCATTTTAAAGTCACAGTGTGATTTCTTGAAGTATGAATGGACATTCTAGATCATTTACCATTGACCTTGCAAAGGTCAAGGGCATGCATGTTAAAGGTAAAAAATTGTAAAACCTGTTCCATTTTTTGAAGTAAATTTCCCAGAAATTGCAAATGCAAATAGCCAAAATATAAGTCATAACGATATTTACCTATTAGTATACGTTTCGGTGACATTTATTCATAACACAGGAAGTTGGTCAACAACGTTTGAACCTTGATTTAGTGAAAACTGGTGGTGATGCAAAGTTTTCGATTATGCCAATTTCAAAGCAATCGGACAAATAGCCGAGAAAATTCGTTTTTTCAAGTTTCAATTTTATGAATGAGTTATACTCACCAGTCAGAATACATTTTGATATATCTCCCTTATATGTTCTCTCAACTCGCTAGTGTCTTGACAAATTTTTCAATTTCATTTCATTCGTTATACTTATCAGTCAGAATACATTTGGATAACGACAGATTCCAAAGCAATATTTTTAACTGGTGGTGTATGGATTTCGCCAAACCCTGTTCAAAATTGAATAACAACTAATTACAAATACTAATTTATTCAGTTCTTTACATTGGTCAATAACCGACTATTTGGTTCCTTTGTACTGTATATAAATTTATTACCAATAATAACCATAACCGTGTAATAGAATACAGTAATTAATTACCAAGAACTTCCCTTCGAAACTCGCCGGAATGATCATTCTTTAATCATTCTAGAACTTTTGCGCCTATATTAGGTAAATCTCTTAGGTAAAAATTTAAAAACGTTGACTGACTATTACAATCGGCCGCATCTAGAATAGCCTTAATTGATGCTCCCTTAAATAGTTCCCAAGATGGGGCAATTGCTTTTGTGAAGTGCGCCGTAACCGACAGATCAGATTTGTATGCCATCTGGACTAATTCAACAATCCAACGTGCAATAGTTTGACTGTTTATATGCTTATTAGGTGCGACGTAAGATACAAAGAGGCCTGTTTGAAGGTTCCCATTTTCGATTTTGCGAAGAGTTTTAGTTTTCTCAAGGTACATACCAAGACACCGCTTAGGTTCTAAAAGCTCATTACCTGTATAGTCTGGAACGAAAATTTCGCCACCATAATGTTGAGGTCAACCATCTTTCCTGACCGACATCGAACCAGGACCAAATCTGAGTGTTTGGAGATCAGTGCATCTTCTGAAAGGAGTAATGGATATTAAAAAGACAGTTTTTAACGTCAAAAATTTCAAAGATGTGCTTGCTAATGGTTCAAAAGGTTGACCTTGGATGAAACAGTCGGGAGGTCCCATTCAGGAACAAGTTTTGTTTGAGGGGGTCGAGAATTAAACATCCCTTTGATAAGGCGACATTCAATAGCGTGCTGTCCTATGGGTCAATTGTCCGCCATGGGAAGGACAGAACTAAACATTGACCGATAGCTTGCAATTGTACGATTATGGAGAACGTCATCGAATAAAGACGATAGGAACTCTGTGACATTGTTCCGCAGATGCGAACAGATCCACAAGAGGGGGAGACCATCTCTAAAATAGAGTTTGGACTAATCTCTTGTTCAATGTCCATTCCGTTGGCGGAATCACCCTGCGACTCACTTGATCTGCGAGAATGTTCGACTTCCCGGCAATGTGAGCTGCCTGAAGTGAGATATTGTTCGTTATAGCCAGATTCCAAAGGTCCAAGTTTTGGAGCACAGGGGTTTGTTTATCCACTGTATCACTGTTGAATTGACGCATCTGCCAATTATCAATAGATTCCTGATGAATGGTATGGAATGATCTATTGCCAAAACGAACGGCTTCCAGCTCCAAAAGCTTGATATGCTGACCGCGTTTCATAGGCGACCATGTTCCCTGGAATAGCAGATTGTCCAGTTGGCCCCCATAGTCGTCGAGAGAGGCATCCGTGATAATTGTTCGCTGGGCGTTATCACCAGTTCAGATGAAATTTCAGATGAGCAGTACAAGGAATTGTCCAGGGGATCGGAGGTGGGTCTCCAAAAAGAGGGGAATTGGTCTCATGCGAAGACGGACATTGGGAATGAGTTCTAAGCATGATGCTATCAGTCCTAGCAGACGTAAGAAATCCATCGCCTTTGGATATTTGAAGATTGTTGTGATAGCCTGGAAGATGGTGTCTATTCTTTATTGTGTTGGACCGAAATACAACACTTTCCACTGGACGATGCCCCGTCTCAAATTGAACAGATTTTTCTCGATTGACAAGAAACCCTCGATCCTCGAGCAGGGATAGACACAGCTGGCGGTTTTGGCGGAGCTGGGTGCGCGATTGGCTAACTATTAGCCAGTCTTCTAGGTACACAACCAGTCGAACGTTTTGAGCTCGACGATGGGCTGTGGCGACTGCCACAACTTTCTTGAACAACCAAGGGGCGGACGTTGGACCGAAACACAACACTTTCCACTGGAAGCACTGGCCTTGAATACAGACTTTCTCGATTGACAAGAAACCCTAGATCCTTGAATACAAAACCGTAGGTACTTCCTGTGCTTTCCGAATATTGGGATGTGGAAGTAGGCATCGCTGAGATCTAAGATCGTCTGGTTTCACTAGGTTGATTACCCTGGATAGCGTATCCATTTTGAAATGTTTTTTCGTTATAACTGATTCAGAGGTCTTATGTCTCAATTTTTCCAGATTTTTGGAATGATGAAAAATGTGCAGTAGAAACCTTCCTGTGTTCCTTGAATTAGCACTCTTTCTATAGCCTCTTGAGTGAATCTATCTCTTCGAATAAAATATGCCGGTTTCCTCGTCTTGCGAATCCCATTCTCTGGAGGAGTCTCCTGAAATTCCAGTTTGTAGCCTTCCTTGACTACATATAATACCCACTTGTCGTCTGTTATAGTCTCCCAATCTTGGAGAAAATGCTGCAATCGACCTCCAACATTGAGAGTAGCTACACTTACCGAGTCATTTTCTATGGTAATCCGACTTTTTGGGGATCTGAAACCCATTTCCCGATTTTTCTGTAGTTCGGTTGGAAGCCTGATACGTTACTTGAAGATAACCTCTGGTTGAGGCTGAGAGTTGTAGTGTGGAAAAGAACGATCCAGTGGAGCATCTTATCGTGGTTTCTCAAAAGCCATTCTCATTAGGTTCAGACGCCTTATTGGAATAAAAAGGTTTTCTCTTGAAAGATTCCCGCTTCTCTTGGAAATCAGGAATTAGATCTTTAAGTTGTTCTTTCTGGGTCTTGCGAGACTTCAGTTAGTCCTGCTTTCCTAAAAACACCGTCTGTAGTAATGGGAAAACATGTTAGTTGAGTAATGAAATCTTTCAGATCACATAAACCTGTGTGTGATACAGGCCCGTAGCCAAGTCATTATCTATATGCGAGCCGTTCGACGTATCGGCATCATTTGAATCCGTAGGGCATGGCAGATATTTACAAAAATTGTCACCAGCGTTGGCGGAAAATTTTGCAGGACTGTGTAATGGTTCGCCATCCTCAGCATGTCCTTCATCAGATAAAAGATCCATGAACTCTTGATATTCTTGCTGGCCTGGTGTCAACGAGATTTCATAAAATTCGAGCAATCGCCTATCTGGTTCAAGTCCGATCAACGGTTCACGCACCCCTTCTGGTGGATCGTGATGATCGAATGGTTTTATGCCCAGCCTCGGTCACTCCAAAAGTCTGATCTTTCGGATTATTCTGTGTTGACTTTATGAAATGGAGTATTTGATCAAATTTGCTATCAACTTTATTCTCTAAATTATCTAGCCGTTGGTTTACTTCTGATTTTCGAGATTTACGTTTCATACCAGATTTAGGAGTATTTTTCGTAGCAATGTTCGAATGAATATTTTCACCTTTCAATCGTCCACCTCCGAACACGTGTCAGAAGAAATCACGGAAGATATTGATTTATATGGCGAAAGATTCTTAGTCAAAAGCAAATTCGCCATAATTTTGAAGCAAAAAATCCTTAGAATACGTAACAATAACACAGTAAAGTGTTAAAATAATTGAATCAAAGCTCAAGAGTAAAAATCAAAATGTGTGCGTTTTCACGCCAGAAGAAAAACTGAAGGGGTGAGCTTGACAAGGGAGGTAACTAGATGGGTGTAGTCTTGATTGTCAAGACACTAGCGAGTTGAGAGAACATCAGGGAGATATATCCAAATTTATTCTGACTGGTAAGTATAACGAATGAAATGAAATCGAAAATTTAGTCAAAATTTTCAAAATTCGGATCAAAAATATGTGCTATGAATTTTCAAAATTCTAAACTTTTTAAATGCCAACCTATTGGATATTCTTGCGAGATCCAAAAAATGAAAACCAGAGAAAAATCCCTCCAAAAATGCGCCTTCTTGAGCCATTTTTCTACTTTTTGTACATTTTGCACTGCGCCACTATGCGTTTTGCAAACATGTTCCAATTTATATTCATTCAGTCATAGACCACAAATGTAGATGTAAGGTATTGCAAATGTTGCTGCAACTATTACAGTTTCTACAGATTAGGCGACACAAAAACATATTTTTTTTAATTACGAAAACAAAGCAGTGCACAAATAGTCATTTACAAAACAAAGCAGTGCGTTCGAAGATGGCCCTGCAATAAATCGATTTGCCGCAAAACGAGTAAAATTAAATCATAATTCAGTAAACGAAAATGAAAAATAAGTAGATTATTATGTATATTTTGTTACATATATTTCTATGCGTGGCGTTAAATAAATATACTCACTGTTCTCTTGTAATGTAATATCCCTGTATGACAATCAATTCCTTTTTATGTTTAAGGATGGCAACTAAGAAAAGTTTGTGTTGGTACGTTTCGATGGTATCAATAATAATAAGTATGGTTGTATGGAATTCAAAACCATTTATCACCGAATCTATAAGTCGAAATCCTGTAGACATCAGGAACGCCATGTCGCATGTTAAGAAAGAAAATAGCCAGAACGTGTTACCAATTCTGAACAAACAGAAGAAAATAAATGAAAAATATTTGGTATATCTGTGCGATGAGAAAAGAGATTGTGGTGGCTGGGGTGACAGACAGAGAGGAATAGTTTCTTTATTTATACTGTCTTTGGTGTGGAAACGAACATTAAAGATTTTGATATCTACTCCATGTGATATTAAACCCTATTATAAACCAACAAAAGAATATAATTGGATATTCACAGAAGAGGAATTGAAAAGATTAAGGGGAAAAAGAAACAAAACTCTTGATTTTATGGGCATCGATGAACCTCTGTTTGACATTAACCTGAACAGCTCAGAGATTGCGGACGTGTTGTACATTAGAACCAATTGTTATCATTTTTTACCAATTGCCCAAAAATATGCCAAGTTTTTACCTGCTTATTTAAAAAACAAAGGACGCGCTAGTGTCTTTCGGGAATCTTGGAACAGAATCATGATTCCAACAGACAAAGTGCTTAGTGAGGTCATGAAAATAGAGTCAAGTGGAGTAATAAACTCAGATGCGAAAAAATCTGGAAAGGAACTAGTTTGTGCACATTTACGAACAGGTCTTACTGAAAACCTATACTATGACTATAGTGGATTTCCTCCTGTGGCTGTTACAAAGTTGTGGAATTATATCGACGGACATTTCCACAATAAATCTCGGATTTTTGTGGCCACAGATCATCTCGGTATTCGAAAAAGTGCTATTTCTAAATATGGTACTAGATATATCGGAAGTTACGCCTCTAACGTGCACCCAGATTCCATGCGATCAAATTTAACATTGGCTTGTCGTTCTCAAGAATCGGCTTATGTTGATCAATTGATGTTATCGAAATGTGATGTTTTGATTTATTACAGAAAAAGTGGCTTCAGTATTCACGCTTCATATCTCAAGACTGAGTGGAGAAATATTTATTCAATCATGAAAAATGGCAAAAGTACATTTTCACTGGAGGAAGCACATTATAATTAATGTTGTATTTGATTGAAACTGCATGTTTTGAGGTTGAGGTTCAAAGGCGTGACTTCAGTGTTATTTCATACTAAAAATATAATATTTTCGATGAACAGGTGAAGCCATAGAACTATTACAATTCTATGGTGAAGCCTTTAAATACAAAATCCACACTGTAAACTTAATAACATCCATAAAACTTTTATCTTTAGTTACAAACCTTCAATATTTGGCAAAACAACTTTATACAAATTTTAAATCACTAAATCAAAAAAAAAAAAAGTTTCAAAATTCAAAAATTAATCCTCAAAATTTCAAATTTTCAAAAAAGCACCTTAACTGTATATTAGTGAATATAACGCGCATTTTTTAAAGTTTTCTTTTCTCTTTTTTTCTTATTATTTTTTCTAGCTTTATAGATAGTAGATGAGTTTTCCTTCATTTCTTTTGTTTTGTTGTATTATATGTTGTGTTGTATATATCTTGTAATAAAATTGAGTAAAAAGTACACTATGATGAGGCACAAGCTTGGATATATTAGTAATAAGAACTTTTAAATTCTGTCATGTCATGTATATAGTGTTAGGCTTTTAATCACTGCACCCCCTCTGACTAACAGTACTGACACTATATATCTATATGTTTTTAAAGTAGGTTTGAATGTACATTATGTACAAGTACAAAAGAAGTTTGATTTTGCGATAATTTTTTTTTTAATCATTAATATAAAATTTTATTGTCACGTGCATTTGCATTCATTTACCTACAAATGTCTTTAGTTATCTCTGATGACGTAATGACGTCGTAATGATATCATTTCCAATATGTCAACGCGGGATGCGGCGTATGATTATACAATAACTTTCCGAATTTGTGTTGAATATCGAAGTTAGTTGTTTCTCTAACAGGTGAACATTCTAATGTTTTTTTTCATTCGTTCATAAAAAAAAGGATTCAATTAACCTTGCACTATTTTATTTGTGTTGTTAATACCTCATCGTCAGCCTAGCAACGTAGGTTAATTAAAGTTAATTTTCAGACGGGTTTATTAGCCCGTATGCACCATATAGAATCAAATTAAGAAGAATAGAATTATTTTAAACCTTAAATAGATTTAGGTAAATGTATTCAAAGATAATTCAATTTTTTGTATGTACCTACTAACAATTAACTAAATATATTTATCTGTACTGTAATTGAAATTCTATTTTCCATTTGAACCACACACTATACACAATCTATATATGACAAAGATTGTCACTAAAACATATTTCTTATTTAACATTTTAATCACTGCTGTATGTAGTGTGGATGTCTTGTAGTCCGAAACTCTATAGACTCTCATCTGGTGTCTTACAGCTTTTATGACAATTATCACCAAGAGTAAGTGTTTTGAATTTCAGTTGATACTTTTATTTGCATACGTTGTGGTCTGGGGCATTTGTAATGCGACCACGTGCTTGCGAGAGTTATTGGCCGTTGTTTCCGCGCACGCCATTTTAAATGGAAACATTTTGAGAAACCTTTCCTGTTTTATTATGATTAACTTAATTTAGGGGCTTTGGACAAAACTCTTCAGGTACTTTTAAGATTAGCTTTATAACGGTCGTTTATATTATGCATACGTTTTTTTTTGTATTTGTCTTAGAATATCGCGATGTAGAGCAACTTATCGAGTCGAAAGTGCGTTGTGTGTTCTCCTACCCCTCTTTTCACTATTAATTGTAATTATATAGTTTTGCGTTTACGTGAATGCTTTTGTTAGGTAACGGCCAGATTTGTTTAGCGTATTTTGTTTGATGCATTCATTATTGTATTTTAATGTCGCCCGTAGCACGTGAATAGCATTACTAACTCCCCATTTGATAGGTTCACTGTATAAAGGGAGATAACTACATTTAATGGTGCCCGTTCAAGCAGGAGTTATGTCCCATACAATATTTGTCAGTAGCCTTAAGAAAACTAAGGGAAGTAACTACACGTAAAGGTTGAAGAGTTGTACTTATGAATTTATTCTTTATAAATTTCAGAATACATAGTTCGAATTAGTACATACATAAACTAATAAACTGTATTATTGGAAATTTGTCTTGACACCATCCCTTCCCTACCAGTAAGATCAAACGATATCTTTAATTCTTTCTATTCTTGGAAGAAGCATCTGAACATCATAATAAATTTGATATGGAATCCATGTCATGTTTCATTTTTGCAAACTATTAGTGATATTCAACACCGATTGCTTGTTCAATCCAAACCTTGCTTTAAATTCCATGTGAAGGGGTCCAGGCGATCCCTGACATGTCTATTGATGGGAACAACACGGTTGATTTCATCAAGTTCATCTAAATCGTCGAAATAATCGTCCATTTTGAAACATCGAGGAGCCACAAAAGGAATTTCTATTGATTTACAAATAGAATTAAAATTTAAAACTGATCTCGACCAACATTAAGTTTAGCATTAGATTAGCAAATTTTTAAATACATTTAAGGTAATTTTATGTGGTGCATACAAAATATAGAATTAAATTAAAAGTTAATGTTATTCGGGCAGAATAGAATTAAATTAGGCTTAATTTCATTTGGTGCATACGGGCCATTATGACCATGATTTTATCCTTAAAAGTACGGTGATTCCTGAACATTACTGAATGTAAATATAAGGATTGAATGTAGATTTGCTTGCCTTCATTTTCAACTCATCAATATATACTTAGGCTACATACCAAATTTCATTAAAAGCGGATAAAAACTGTAGCATCTATCGTGCCAAATTCGACACGTTTTACGAGGTCAAGGTCAATTGCTACTAATTTTGAACTTCACCGAAAAACTATCAATATAATATATGCATAAAAATAAAAGACATTCCTCAATCAGTTGCACTTTATTGCTAACAAGTTGAATGCGATTATTCGACACAATATATAAATTGTTTCCTCGTCTCACGTCAGTACGTCAGCAAACACGTCACACGTCAATGTTAAGGTTAGTTTTTCAGCTTGGACACAATATTTTAATTGACTGTACATGGGTGAGATAACTCTGAGAAAACAACAATTTAATAAAATATATTTAAGCAAATGAAGTTGTGTACAATTGTACGCTTTCGAAAATCGATAAATAAGTAATAAAAACGCCCTTTACTTCTACTGAGATATTTCTGAGCCAGAGTATGTAGAGTAAAAATGTTATCTATGGTACTATACTCTTTTCTGTAACCAGCTTGCTCCTCGAATTTTAGGGATTCTGTTCCACACCATGAACTTAATCGATTATTCATTATTTTCGTAATTTTTTTTCCTATGACTGATAGTAAAGAGATTCCCCTCTCCCGGATCTGCTGTTCTGCCTGGTTTGTATATTGGGAAAATAACAGTTTCACACCAGGATTCTGGTAATAAGAGTTTCTTAGCACATCAAAATAGTCTTTATCATATTCTACATCGATAAAAACTGTTTCTTCTTCACCAATTCTAAATATAACACAAATTGGTCTGTGACTTTCAATTTTCTTCACTCCAAGCCTCTAACATTGTTCTATGGGCAATCGTGCAATCGAGGGGGGCAATTTAGCAAAGCACCTTGACAGACGATCAAACGTCGGCAAAGTCCCCCCAAGCCTCCCCTTGGCTACTGGCCTGGGTTTGACAGGTGTGACAGGTGTGATAGGGAGCCAGCTGTCCAGCTGTACATGAGTTTAGTAGCACGTGTAGAATGATGTAATAATTTCAACTCGCCACGGTCCAGCGACTACCAGCTGGTCTGAGGTACACCACTGACCAGCTCTAGATCATTTAGACCAAATCCAGGGTCATCCCCATCCCAGCTCATGGGGATGGGGGCAAGATTTGATTCAGGGGGGCAAAGCCTACGGGCCTGGGGGCATGGTGGAGTACGGAAATTTGAACGTAGATTGGAATGAATATACAGACGATAGTGATATTGAATTGTTAACAGCATCGCAAAAAGTTGAAGAAGAATATTTGGTAGAAAATAATGCGAACGACAGCGATATTGAACTTTTAAATTCATCACAACAAATTGAAATGGATTATTTTGGAGCACTCTTTTCGGATATTAGTGATGATTGAATGCGGTCAATCCAAATATCTCAGTAGAAGTAAAGGGCGTTTCTATTGCTTATTTATTGATTTTTCAAAAGCGTACGACAGTATACAACATCATTTGTTTAAATATATTTTATTGAAAATTAACGTAAATGGTTGTTTTCTCAGAGTTATCTCATCCATGTTAAGCCAATTGAAATCTTGTGTACAAGTTGGAACGCTAACCTTATCTGAATTTTTTAATTGTAGTATTGGCACTCGTCAAGGCTGTATGCTCAGGCCGCTCTTGTTTACATTGTTCTTAAATGAGCTTTCACAATGGTTAAGATAGAAGAATGTTCAGGTATTTTTGTAAACACAGACATAGATAATATAGTGAATCTACTTTATGCTGTTGTCGCTGACACTGTAGGTAGGCTTCAAAAGCAAATTGATTGTGTCAGTCTTTTTTGTAAATGGTATGGAATAAAGATAAATGTAGCTAAAACTAAAATAGTGGTATTTAGAAGGGGCGGAGTTACTAAGAGTAATGAGAAATGGTTTTATGAAGGGGAGATAATCGAAACAGTATCTCAGTACAAATATCTAGGTCTATACTTTACACCCAAACTAACTTGGTACAAAGCTTGTAATACATTAGCTACACAGGGGAAAAGGCCATGAATCTTTATTTAGATTCTGTTACAAAAACTATATTATTATACAAAACTCTTTGTTTTTATTTGATAGAATGATAACTCCAATCTTGACATATGGTTCTGAGGTATGGGGATATGTAGATTATAAATGTTTAGACTCAGTTCACTTGAAATTTTGTAGACGTCTACTATCACTGAATTCGAATACACAAAAAGAGGTAGTATACGGTGAACTAGGTAGATACCCAATAGATATTGTAGCAAAATTTAATCTTATAAAATATTGGACTAAATTATGTAGAATGCCT